AAACCCTAAACCCTGAAGCCCTCACCCTGGACAACCCGAAAAGGATCGCTATTCTCCACGAGGGCCGCCTCCGGTGCTGCGGCTCTCCGCAGCCACTTGGGCAGGGCAGTAGTTACCCAGTGAGCCCAATACCCCTTAATTAAGGAATGTAGCTTAGATCATAATATGAAGCCCCTTATAATTTAAGGTATATTCCTTAATTAAGGGGTATTGGGCTCTTTGGGTAGGATTGTTTGTGCGTTGCTTCAGGGTTTAGGATTTAGGGTGTTTAGAACCCTAAACTAAACCATAAGTTTAGACTAAACCCTCAACCCTCGGGCTTAAGTTTAGTGTTAAGGGTGTTAGGGCTTAGGCGTTTAGGGTTTAGTGTTAAGGGGGTTAGGAAATAGGCGTTTAGGGTTTAGGGTTTTAGGGTTCAGGGTCTTATGGGTTAGGCGTTTAGGGTTTTAGGGTTCAGGGTGTTAGGGTGTTAGGGTTTAGGATTTTAGGGTTTAGGGTTTTAGGGCTTAGGGTTGTTGTTTTTGTTTTAAGGTTTTGGGCTGAGGTTGCCTTTTGTAGGTTTCTTGGTAGCGGTGCGAGGCTGATGTCCAGATGTGTTGAAAGGCGAACTAGAAGTGTCTTGCTACAGTTTAAAGGATCCTCGGGTTTCGGGTAGGGTTTAGGGTTGAGGGTTGAGGTTTGCTTTAAGGGCTCAATGTGGGGTGCTTCTGGGGTTTTCAGTAATGTAGGAACCTGATTAAGAAACCCTGGTCCTAAAACCCCAAAATATTATAGGATCCATATAATGAACCCTGATAAAGACCCAAGGCTTCTTAATCAGGGGTTCCTATAGTACACTTTGTTGCAAAAGGCCTTTCTGGATTTCCTAGACATCTTAAACCTTTTGTTGGTGGCTTTGGGGGTTCAGCCTCCAGTGCAGGATTGTTGCACGTGATTTTTAGGGTGTAGCGTGGCGTATGCCTATAACGGTAAGTTTCGAAGGAGCATTGCTCCTTTAACCTAAGCGCTCAGATGTAGGGTTTAAGGCTCTAGGCTATTGGTGTTTAGGATTTAGGACTCTGCGGCTTGTAGAGATGAGGCTTGGCCGCGTGACAGCGCGGACAGCAGGGACAGGAGCAATGCTGCCACAAGAGATCACAATGACCACAAGCGTCTAGTACTCGGGATATCCTAGGATCCAAGCCCTAAGCCCCAAACGTGAACCCTAAACGCAGGCTCGTGACATCGTGGCGCAGTCCCAGGGTACTTAGTGAAGCTGGCTGGGTTCGGGGTGGTCCGTCGTCGCTGCGTTTTCTGGCTACTTTTGGTGTAAGCCCCGTTGCGATTTGGCTTTAGCTTACACCCTAAACCCTAAACCCTAAACCCTAAGCCCTAAACCCTAAACGACCCTAAATCCAAACCCTAAACCCTAAACGACCCTAAATCCCCTACATCCAAGCCCCAAGTGGAGCCGCAAGAACCGCGGAGGCCTGAGCCGTAAACCCCACCTGTAACCGAAAAGACCTACCTTTTTAGGGTTCCTTATTAGGGTTTAGGGTTTAGGGTTCTTTATTCGAGTTTCTATAAAAAGTTCCTTAAACAGGTAGGTCTTTTGGGTAAAATCCAAGGCCGTAAGCCGAGAGAGTCCCGAGCTTCATCATGAGGCCCTATAGCCCAGAGGCCGGAAACCTCCTTTAAGATCAGATCCCTAAACCCTCTAGGGTTTAGGATTAGGGTTTAGGGTTTAGGGTTTCCTTTAAGGTCAGACAGATTCTAAGCTTGTGGATGTTAAGCAACTGAAATCCTGCTTCGGGCTTAGGTTCCTGAAGCGGGCATACGACTGCGGCGGGGGGCCCTGGAAGTATACTTGCAATCTGCAACAACAAGTGCTTCATACGGCTTCTAGAATCAGAAGGGTTTGTAAGGGTTCCTTTTTTTGGGGTTCCGGTAAAGGGTTCGTCATGGCTTGCCGGGTTCTGGGCCGTGGAAAGGAACTCCGAAACCAAGGACCAATACTTCAATGCCGTATTCCAAAGCTGTTGGCCCAAAAGCCGCAAACCCTAAAGTCGAAACCCTATAGTTATAAGCCCTCCAGAGAGGGCTCTTGGGAGATTTCTAGGGCGGTTTTGCTGGGCTTCGGGCTTATAGGGCCGGCATAGGGCGTGTAGACGTTTAGAAGGATTTTAGGCTTCAGGGTTGGGAAGGTCCAGGGTCTTTGGGCTTGCTGTTTGTTTAGGGTTTAGGGTTTAGGGTTTAGGGTTTTTTGGCACTGAAATGCGGCGAGACTGTGTTGCTTGACTCTTCAGCCATCAATTCCATTTTCCAGCAAGACTTGGCAGAACGCTCCTACATGACTATGGTTGCAAGGATGGGTTTGCGATTAGACGAGTCCTGCGGCTGGATGCACTGGAAACAGCATCGAGCCATTTTTGCAATCAGAACGTGGGGAGGGGTGGTATGGCGGTGGCTGTCTACATGTGTGTGCGAACTTATCAGTTGCGGGAGCTGCGGCCTCGCCGCTGGGTCGCAGATGGCTTCCCAAATGTTGGCCGCTGTTACAAGTGAAGGGGCAAAATTTGTGCTTTTGAAGTCCCTTCTGGCAAGAGCAAGGCGTCCAACACTTCAAACCCATGATGGCGTGGTTCAGAGACTGCACTTTGGGGTTTAGGGTAAACGGTTTAGGGTTTCTAGGAGTTTAGGGTTAACGGGCTTAGGGTGTCGGGTTTAGGCTTTATAAGTGTGCACGTCCTCTGTCTGTAAGGGGCTTTACATGGTCTTATCGGGGTTAGGCGCCCAAGGGCTTCCAAAAGTGTAGTTCTCGAAATCAAGGTCCCTTTTAGGGCTCCTTTTTTTTTATAACGGTGCCGTACTATCTTGGGGACCAAAAACGGATCCTGTTTTAGAAACCTACCCATAGGGGTTTTGCATTTTTGAAGGGCCGTAAATGGGGTTTTCTCAATATTTAGGATCCTGTGGCCTTCAACCTGCAAGCCTAAGCTCTAAATGAAACCCACGGCCCTTGCGAACAGGGTTTAGGGTTTAGGGTTCAGGGAGTAAGCCCTCTCAAAGCTTTACAAAGAAGTTTGGAGCTTGATGTACAAAAAAATAGTTGCAGCGCATACAAATTCCGAACAACGCATGCCCTCCCAGGCTACAACGTCACCTTCGTCAAGAAGCCCGGATGCGACGCCGATGCTGTGCGCGAGGTAGCTGATTCCCGACAGCCGACAGCCCACATGAAACCTAGTAGCCCGAACCATTAGGGTCAAACACGTGGTTAGTATAAAATGCATATTGCGCAATATAGAAGCCTGATCTTGATAATACTTACCAATACTACTGTTGATGATATAAATCCTGTATTACCTTTAAGGACCCTAAACTATGGGAATTATGGTATATTCCTTGTCACTACTCTTCATGATGCTTCCATTATTAGTCCCCAAAAGCCTTTTCCAAGTGACAAAGGCCCCGTGGAGCCTTGGGCGCCCTGAAACCGTCTGGCTCGACAGGGTTTAGGGTGCAAGGTTCCAAGGATAGGGTTTAGGCTTTAGGGTTCAGGGTTTAGGGTTTAGGGGGGTTTCAGGGCTAAGGGTTCGACTGTGTAGAACTCGTAAGCAGGAGGGTGTAGGCAACTCGCAAAGAAACCCAGCCCGTCTACGAAGGGCTGACGTTCAATCGGCCAGGCTCATGAGAGGCATTCTCGATGGGGTTTTCGAGATTGACCCCTTTGCCATGTGCGCGGAGTCTGGCAAAAGACGATCGACATCCGCGCGCCCCAGAGCCGCGGAGACAAAGGGCAGGTGCCGCCTGTGGCAGCGGCAGCTTCCCCAAGCCCGAGGGCAGGCCACCCACGAGGACCGATTTGACAGACAGGGCACAGGAGGCTTCTGACAAACGCTGCAGGAGGAGGACCGCGGCCGCAGCCCCCTCAACGCGATCTCGAAGCGGCAGGTCGAGTGCCTCGAGATGGAGTTCTGAACTTTGCAGCAGGTGGACATCCAGCTCCTCCACTCCGCTTCGTGGTAGGGTTGGTGGCGGCCTAGCAGGATTCCATGAACGTGTACCTGCTTGTGGAGGTGACTGGGCTCTTGCAATCGAGTCGAGTTTCAGCAACCATAAATCGGGATCCACGGTGAATAAGTGAGGGTTTCATGAAAAAATTGCAGAAGTTCCACCGAAAAACCTGGGCTTCGGTTGCTCCAAAAGCCAACTCCTGTAGGGGCCTTACGCCCCGATCCCCTCAAAAAAACAAGTCCTACGGTTGATGATATGAATCCCGCATTACCCATCATCTAAGGAAGATACCATAATTCCCATGGGTTTGGATCCTTAAGGTAATGCAGGATTTGTATCATCAACAGTAAGCCTTTCGGTGGGGCATGCCTTTTCCAAAACAGTTTGCAAAGTCTTCAGTAGAGTCACCTTCTCTAGGTGAGTACCTCACTTATAAACCCTAAGCCCCTTAAACCCCTAAGCCCCTAAACCCTAAACCCCTAAACCCCTAAACCCCTAAACCCCTAAACCCTAAACCCCCTCCTAAACCCTAAACTAGGCTGCGACTGTGTAACTTAGTAGCCTGGCACACCCCTTCAGCCCTCAAAGTCTGTGCCCTGAAGCTAATGCCAGGCCGTGTGCCATCATGTACCCGAGCTCACCTCGGAGGTGGGCTTGCATCATGGGGGTCTTACGGGCCCTAAAGCCTAGTTTGGGATCTTTGGTTTCAGGGTTTGCATGTTAGGGTTTCGGGCTTTAGGATGTTAGTTATTTACCGTTTAGGGGCTTAGGGCTGTAGGGGCTTATAGGTTGATGATCCCTAAACCCTCCCCCCACTCCCACCCGCCGTCCTCAACAAAAATAAGGCACGAAACTCTTTAATCCCAAACCCATACGAGACCAATTGAGACCCGTATCAAACCCTATGGAAGCCCGGATACCACCAACAAGCCGAGGAGATGTACTCTAGAAGCCTAACCATGTAGTCAGATTGTTCCCTCTTTGTCCCTATATAGATATATCATTGTCATAACCCCACCCAAAAAGCTGTATTGAAATAAGCCCTGAACCCTAAACCAATCAGGGAGCCTCTGCTGTAGAACCGCAGATAGATCC